GGGGGTCTCTGGGACGGGGGTCTCTGGGATGAGGGGTCTCTGGGATGGGGGGTCTCTGGGATGGGGGTCTCTGGGACGGGGGTCTCTGGGATGGGGTCTCTGGGAGGGGAGCACTGTGAGGGTCTCCAGGAGGGGCAGGAGCCAACCCTGTTCCCGCAGGTCCCTCCTGCAGCAGCTCCAGGAGCTGATCAAGGAAACATCCACCAAGGCCGCCCAGACCGGCCCCTGTGTCCTGGTACGGCCCCCCCAGAACCCCCCCCCGGGACCCCCCAACCCACCCCAGGACTCACAGCTCCCGTCCCTCCCCCAGATCCTGGTCCTGTCCCTGGGCCTGATCCTGCTCCCGAGCTCCAGCCCCTTCCAGCAGGAGGAGCACCGGGATGGCCTCGGACCCACCGGAGGTACCGGAGCTCCGGGATGGGGGTGGGCACAGCTTTGCCCCCCACCCCGTGCTGCCCATCCCGCTCTTCCCTGTTCCCACAGTGATCTCCAGGAACATCCTGACACGGCAGGAGCCGGGAGAGGCCGGAGACCCCCCGATCCCGGGGTGGGGCTGGGGGGCACAGCCGGGAGCGGAGGATGGAGCTGGGGGGGGGTCTGGGGAGGGGTTCACCCCCCCTGGAAGGGATCCAGGGACAAATTCCTCCGGGCAGGATGTGGGGACAGGGGGACACGGGGATGAGATGTGACCTGGAGACCCCTGGAATAAACCCACGCTCCGTTTGCATCCCAAGGTGTGTTGGGGGATTGGGAATGGGGGGGGGACACCCCCAAGGGACAAACACTCCGGTGACAACACCCAGGGTTTGTTCCACATCCCGGGGTGGGATCCTTGGGGACCCCTCAGGTGGATCCTGGTGCTGGGAACCCCCAAAGGATCCAGGGATAAAACTGGGATTGGTGACAAAACCCAGGATTTGTGACAAGGACCAGCATTTATTCCACATCCCGCTCCCAGGATGGGATCCTGGGACCCTAATGGTGGGATCCTGGGACCCCCAAGGGTGGGATCCTGGGACCCCAAGGGTGGGGTCCTGGGACCCCCAAGGGTGGAATCCTGGGACCCC